GATCTTGAATTTTTAGCTAAGTACTTGGAACCCAGAACAAATGCTGTATTTACTAGTTTTTCCTGTAGCTAGATGAAGCCATGGACCATGAGATGAACTATGGATCATGCATGGTGAAACAATGAGATAGCTCAAACCTTGGGACATCACACCAATCCTCTATTACCTATCTGGATTTTTTCATATGAAAGAGAAATAAACCACTATGCTACTTGTGGCTGAACCTAATACTGACTCAGTTTTCTTAAAGGTACGCCTCCCTTACACAAGGTAAAGGAACCAAGTTTCTTCATCAGCTGCATAACACTGAACCTAGAATATAGTGATGAGAGGAAAGTGCCTATTGACTGGATGTATGACTGAAAAGAAGAACGGATAAATGATTAACAGTTGGCTAGGGGAAAGTCCAAGGTCAAGTATTAAGAAGACATTGTGCCAGTGAGTGGGACCTTCTAGGTCAGCTCCAGCTTAAGGCAACATTGACCCTATATATCCATGAGCACCTCCTTTTTGCCAGGCACAATGTCAAATGATGTTTTTACAGTGGTGAAAAGTTTTTTGCTTTTACAAAGGTTATTATAGAAGGGGCAGACACAGTTTTTTAAAAAACAGGTAGTTTTAAGGGCGTTGATGAAAATAAAATTTGTTGGCTGGCGCCACAGCTCACTTGGCTAATCCTCCACCTGTGGCGCCACCACCCTGGGTTCTAGTCTTGGTTGGGGTGCCAGATTCTGTCCTGGTTGCTCCTCTTCCAGTCCAGCTCTCTGTTGTGGCCTGGGAGTGCAGTGGAAGATGGCCCAGGTCCTTGGGCCCTGCACCCTCATGGGAGACCAGGAGGAGGCACCTGGCTCCTGGCCTCAGATTGGTGCAGCGTGCCTGCCTTGGCAGCCATTGGGGGGTGAACCAACGGAAGGAAGACCTTTCTCTCTCTCTCACTGTCTAATTCTGCCTGTCAAAAAGAAAATAAATAAGTAAAAAGAAAAAGAAAAGAAAATGTGTTGTACTTTAGGCTGAGCAGTAGGACAGGTGGCCCAAAGGGTAGCATTTTTGCAGAGACTTGGATGACAAGAAGCAGCAGAGGTCAGGGAGAAAGGTCTTTGAGGCACAGAGAATAGCTAATGCAAGGGCTCTGAATGGCAACTTACTCAGTTTTTTTCAAAGGGGAAAAGGCAAGTGAAGTATACTGAATGACGGGAATTGGGAAGGAGTAGGTAGGACCCAGCATTTACGTGCAAAGAGCTGACTCTTGCTCTAAAGCCAGCGGAAGCCATGAGAGATTTTAAGCAAAGGATGGGCACCTTCCAATTTGCATGTCAAGAGTCACTCTGGCTCCTGGAAACAGAAAGAATTGTTGGAGGGCAGGAGTGCAAACAGTGATGTTTTGATTTTCTGCTTCTGTGTGAGAATATGCAAAACTGAGTAGCTTCAAGTTGCTGTATTAGTTTGCTCACCACTTTGTGGGTCAGGAACTATAGAAAGGCTTCAACTGGGCAGTCTGTCTCTGACTCACAAGACATCAACTGGGGTGACTGAGGCTGGAGGATCCAGGTCCCTGGTCTCTCCCCACACAAGGGCAATGCCCAAGTGCTACCTAACCTTCTTCCCTCTCCACCTGACAACTGACTCTTTAGGGCCTATCCAAGTGGCTTGGACCTTTCCCATTCTGCTGATCTCAGGGTGGTTGTACTTCTTAGATGGAAGCCCATTTCTAAGAGAAAGGAAGTAGGAGTTCCGGTGCCTCACTGGGAACTGGCACTATGTTGCATCACTTCCTCCATATTCATTGGTCAAAGTAGCCAAAGACGGTGGGGAAATAGACCGCACCTATTGATGAGGAAACAGGGTCACTTGCAGAAGAGTATGTCAGGTGGAAGCTACTGCCATAACCAGCTTTGGAAAATACAAAATACCACACAAGCGGTGGCCGTTCCAGTAAGTCAGGCAAGACGCATTTGCTTAGATTTGGATGTTTTCACTGGAGAAGAGAAAGTGGTGGATTTAAAGTAGTGAGCAGAATATATGGAAACCAACTAAAGCATGAACAAATGCATCTGAGTACTTGTGAACAGACTGCCCTTGATAAGCTTACATGGATGAGATTTGCAGTCTTCCAAGGAAGAAAGTCTTGAATACATTTGATCTATTCACAGGAAACACACATCAATGTCATGCTTCATCATTGCCACCCATCAATTAGGGCAGGGAGTTAAGACCAGAAGAGGCCCAGAGCTACACAGAGGGGTGACAGTGTGAACCTCAAGACCATGAGGTCCAGGGATTGCCAGGGCCTGTACCCCAGAGTGCAAGGTCTACGGGCATTACATTTTCAAAGGCTTCATGGAAGCGAATGCATTTGACCAGGGAAACACCTGAGCAGTTTTTTGTTTCATACCTTCGGTTACTTAAGGAGACACATTTTTTAAGGTATGGGAATCAATGCACCAAAGAGAGAAAAGAAAGAGGGATTTTTTTTTTTTGGTGACAAAAATGCTGGAAACTGTTTTCACATGTCAACACACGGGAGAATGATTCAGAAACTTGTCCAGAGTCACCCAGCAAATTAATGGCTGAGCTGGTGCTAAAAGACATGTGTCCTGATTCCAGTCTGGCGTTCTTTCCACAGCATCACCTGCCATTCTGCCCAGAACATAGCTTTGCGCTGGCCTGTGGTCATATTGAACCCTTGCTATTGCTCAACTGACTTTCAGACAGTGCCAGGATGCTGGGAGAAGAAATTGTGAACAAACCAAATCTGTTCCCCCTACTGGAAAAATAACTAAAACCATGCTTTGCTAATTTGACTCAGCTGCGTCTCTTTGTGGAGAAGATAGTACATAACGTCCATGTGAAAAATCATCACAGTGAGGCCTCTTGCTGTGCTGCGAAATGTGCCATAGACTATTTCTTAAAATTCACAGAATGCCTGAGATTCTCAGTTCTCAGATCTCTACCAAAGCTCAGGATCACCAGGATCTTTGGATTGGAAAATGAGAACAAAAGGTTTTTACTGCGTATGTATGGTAGGGGTAAGGAGAAATACGCTTTATAACTGATATTCCCTATATGTAACTTCTATTTCATATGTGCAGTTGCATGTTTTTTGTTTTTATTTTCTCAATATTTGAAGTGGTCAAAACTCTACTACAGACAGGTAACACATGTTCTAAAATATTATCATTTCAACTGCTTTTAATATCTTTGGCATTTCCCAGAATGAAATAAAATTTATGTCATTTGTTTCTATCCAATTTTTAAAAAATTATTTGAGCAGTCTTATTGGAATAAAATTGGCACTTGCATGTCACTATTATAGCATTTCCTGGGAATGAGATGAATGACTCAAAGATTCAATGGTTCCCATACTAGGTTTTGCATCACGTTTGAACTTACTTGGACAAATATTTTCTTCCCCACCACACTTAAAGGATTTATAAAATATTGCTCCTTGCTGTTTGCAAAAGAAGCCATTTGTTGTGCTCTGGTGCTTGGTAATATGTAGATGTCGTCTATGGATTTAGATGTCTCTTCATTAAGATTGCACCACAAAATCTTATGCCTTCATTATGCTTCTTATGTTATATTGCACTGACAAGTTTGACTGCAATGGAGACGGGGCCAGGTGGTGTTTAAATCCCAAACACTGAAAAATTTGAATGCCGCAGGCAAGGAAAACTGACTATTCAGTAGGCACAAGTTGTAATATTTCAGGCAAGACATTGTCAAAATCAGAAGAGTGAAGGCTTTCGGCCACTGCTTTCACTAGCACATTTCTATTATCCTTTATGCATTTCAATGAGACTTTAAAACAGATGCTTAGGCAGTGTTTTTCTGTAGGTTTTCATGAAAGCATCAATATTAATCTATTTTGAAAAATCCTCTATGGGACCCCAGAAGCTGGCTCCCTTCCCCCCTTTTTAAAGCACTTTCTCTCAGGCCTAAAAATTCAAGTACTCTCTTAACTAAGTGCAGACTGAAATATTTCACTATGGATTTGAACGGGAGCCAAGATGGACGATGAAAAGAAAACTTCTCTCTATAAAGGGTTTATTGTCAGCACTTTCTAAAGATGTAGATTCCTCTAACACAGGCTACCAGCCTTTTCACAGACACTGATGCGGGCTTCTGCACCCCTCCTGGACCTACCCTTCAGGTCCTTTTCTTGTAGGAATGCTCCACATCAGGCCTTTGACCTTCGGGATAGCCAGCCCCATCTAACTGCTCCTTCCCCCATCAATATAATGTATATTTATAAAAAAGCAAGGGGAATGGGGTGGCTTGGTCCTCACGCTATTGGAAAAGTACTTGAAATTCCTCACATTCCTTTGCATTTAACAGCATGTTTACCTAATCACTGGCTTATTGGGATTAACACAAGTCATTGCTTCAAACTCATTAGTGAAAACAAACTGACTCCTATAGATTCCATCTGTTTTTTTCTGATCCCAGTCAAGGGTGAATTTTTAAGTAGTGCTTCTAATTTTGAGGAATGATATTAGAAAACCATAGTTATAAACAAGCAGTCTTTTATAATACATTTTCCAACCCCATCTCTTGTTGCTCCTGGATTTAGATTGTGCAGCCTAGAGCATGGACTGTTTTCATTGAAGGGTTTCCCCTCTACTGATGAGACATGCAGAACAACCTGGTGATTAAACTGGAAAATAATTCTGTGATGCCTATCTCAGAGTGATGGAGTGCCTTAGGCCTTGTTATTATAAAAATAAAGTAGTAATTTTTAAATCACAAATTTAGCTTCTAATTCCCTTGTGCTTCACACAAGGCCTATCTTCTATCCATGTTTTTAAGATAGATTACTACACTACTGCATATATCAAAGAAACCATTGCCTTATTTTTATAGTTTACTGCTATATCTCAGACCCCTAAAACAGCTCCTGATGTATAGCAGGCACTCAATAATTTCTGTTTGCATGACTGAATATGTAAGTCACATGGATGCTGGACGGTCTCTAAAAATACTGAATGCCATACACTCAGATATTAGGTAAATATTTCTTTATTAAATGATTAATTCCATAAATAAATTCTTTTCACTGAATATAAAATTAAAATCATTTACAAATTATTCCAGTATTACATTTCCCCTCCCTCCCCAAAAGCTACATTTTGATAAATAAAAACATTCAATCTTAAAACACCTGATTTCTGTTTGCTGTGTAGAGTGCAGGTAGCTGCCTCTCGTGGCCACTCACAGAGTGTCACTTTCGGGAAGGGATGGAATGTCCTCCCCATTACTTCTGTCAAAGGACAAAGGAAGCCTTTCACTGTCCACCGCATCTTATTATCTCTTTTACAATTGTAGACAGGAGAGGAAAAGGGCCTAGAGAAAAATATGCTTAGCGAATAATTTACAAACAGAAAACAGAACGTCATTGACACCACAAGCTCCAAAATGAAGCAGTAATGTGTGCTCCAATACTATGAAGCAAAGGATTCTCCAGTCGCGGCTGCGTTACAGGCCATCTGCACCAGCGCGCTCGGCAGTTCTGAAACATCTTAGCACTACTCAAGAATGAGCAAGGCATCCCTTCTACGAGGAGTCCCTTCACCCACACCGCCCCCACCCACGTCTCCGTGACGCTGCCACTCTTCTCCCTCCTTTGTTCACCCTGACACTGGAAGCCCACGGAGCGCTTAGTCCCGAAATTTGTGAATGTCATTGAACAGCCTGTAGAAGGGAAAGGCGGCCTCGTTGGCATGCGGGCAGTTGAAGCTGCACCTGCAGGACTGAATCATCATGACGTTCTTGGAGAACGTCTCGCCGTCCTCACAGCGGAACCGCATCTTCACCGTCCTGGTCTGCTGGGGCATGCAGCACCGGCCGTCCACGCACGAGCCGCAGTACTTGGGCCGGTATTTCTTCACGCTCGAACACCCAGCGTAGGTGAACCTGACTGCTTCGGGAGACTTCTTGGTCTTGCTGCATTTCTTGCCCTTCTGTAACAAACAGGGGGGACGGGAAGTCAGGGGTGCTGGTTGCCTGGTTTGGAAAGGAGGGTCACATCCCACCCACCTGCCCCAGCCCAGCTTCCCAGGTCCCGGGGTAGGGTGGCGGGACTCACTTTCAGGCTGCTGTACATCGGCTGTCCACAAGGCCGCACTTCACAGATCCGGGTCTCTTTCACCAGGCGGCATTCGGAGTTGTCATTGGTAACCCGGGTGGAGATGCCGGTTCCACAAGTCTTTGAGCACTGGGACCATGAAGTGGTCTGAACGATACACTTCTGGCCGTGCAAAGGGTTGTATAGGATGCGAGGCTCCATGCCAAAAACTAGAGAGACAAACAAGAAGAGAGGGCGTCTCAGAGGCAAACCGACACAACGGGACTCACGCTCAGCTCTACAAAGCTTTGGCCCAGAAACGCATGCCCGGCCAGGGTCGGCAGCCCAGACTTACCAGGGAGCCTCTTCAGCGGGCCGCCTTTTCCCACGGCAATCAATTCGTTGTTTCTCGTTAACTCCACCTCAGAGGCGTCGAAGCCCAGCCCCTTGCCCAGGAGGTCGTCCAGCTCTTCCTGCTCGTCGTCCTCCGCGGGTTCCTTGACGTTGTCCTCGTCACAGACCCATTCCTCGCAGCACTGCCCGGCAACTTTGACCAGCCGGGGGTTGGGACAGCCCAAGTTGGGGAGAGACAGTTCCTGGGGACACAGCGGAATGCAGCCGACGGCGCCATCGATGCACGTACACTGGTGTTTACAGTTAGGCTGGAAACTCTCCCCGTTCTGGTAGATCCGGGAGTTGTATTCACAGGGTCGGCCTTCCGACTGAGCTGCAGAGAGAGAGACGGGGAGGGGATGAAGCAAAGAGCCGGAGGCATGGCCTCGAGCGCACACGCAGTTTTTGCTCTTGAACTTGGTTTATGGTAAAGTTCCCTGCAACTCCCGGGAGACTCCAGACCAGAACAATAAGTTAGTCAGGAATCACTTTTCCGTATGCGCTTTTTGCTGGGCTCAGACACACTGAATTGCATTCCAGACTGCTGAAATCATGTGCTTTTCTGCCAAGCTACCAACAACAAAGCATCACCATACATGGTCTCAGAATTACTAAACTTCGGGACTATGATTTTTTTTAAAGGGGCCAAACCACAAGCATCTTACCTCTGCAGATCCCCTTCAGAGCGGTGGGGCTGGCGCCGAAGTTGCATTCCAGCCCCTTGGTGTGGTCGCAGGGCTGCGTTTTGCTGCAGTCCTCGTTGAGTTGCTTGGCGCAGACCTTGCAACAGCCGCAGCCATCCCGGACCAACCCGACTCCCGGGGCGCACTTGGGCGCCTCCAGGGGGCAGTGGCAGACGGCGGGGCAGGTGGAGAGCGCCTGGAAGAAGAGGAAGAAACGCGTGAGACTCGGTGCGGGGTGCGGGAGAGAGGAGCGCAGCCGCCCGCGGGAAGGACCGGGGGTCTCTCACTCGGTCGACGAGGAGCGCCTCTGATTCCGGCCAGCCCGGCGGCTGCGCCCAGCAGGAGGACCCCCGGACACGTCTCAGGGAGAGTAAAGCAGCAGCTACCTCCCAAGCGCCCCCTTAACTTTTTCAGCTTGGCTTTTCCTACCGCGGGGCCATCTGGGGAGTGGGGACGGGGCTGGAGCGCGGTCGGGTAGGCAGTGGCCAAAGAAGAGTCCAACTCACCAGCCTGGTCAAGTGGAGAAGGGTGACGGCGCAGGCGAGCGCCCTGGCGGTGCGGGAGCTCATTGTGGCGCGCAGGAGGAGCCGGGGTAAGCGCGGCGGCGGAGACGCCAACAACCTGGGGCGCAGCAGACAGGCCCGGCGCGGCGGGGTCGCGGCGGGCAGGGAGGCGAGGGCCGGGGCAGCAGGCGAGCAGTCAGGCTGCGGGCGTCTTTCTCTCGGGGTCCTTGCCGAAGAGGAGCAGAGGTAGCGGGCACTACTCCGAGGCGATCTCGCTCGCGGTCTGCCCAGGCGCCGGGAGCCCGCCTTTTATATGGGCCCGCGGAGGCGCCGCGTGTTGCAGTGACGTCGGCGCTGTCTGCGCGTTCCAGAATTCTCAAACATCTCAGGAATGCTGGTTGGCGCGGGCTGCTGCCAAGCGCCTCCCCTGGCTCCATTGCACCTTTTTTTTTTTTTTTTTTTTTTTGGTCTCCGACCCATCAAGAAAACAGTCCGTTTTTCCACTTTACATACCGACTTCCACTGGGGAGGGCTCTTTGGGGGCATGATGGTGGTGATGGGTGTGGAAGGGTGTTGGAGGGGCCGAGGGGACGAGTTCAGAACTTTGCCCGGACTGGGAGGGTGGGAGGACCTGAGAGGGAGGAACAAAAGTGGTTTTGTTTGGTGATGCCGAGTTGACCGGGCAGCCACGGAAGCCCTCGGCCGAAAAAGCAGAGAGCTGTTTGCTTGTTTACAGCGAAGGTGAGAGTCAAGTTATCTATTGAGAGAGTCCGACGGGGATGGGGAGTGCTCCTGGGAGCCAGGAATCTATTTGTGGACTTCAAAGAGGCACGCTCGGATCAAATCCCGAAGCCTTGGCATGATGTTCATTAGCTAAGTGAAGTGTATTGCAAATTAACACCTGCAGCAGCATTTATGAATGAGAAGCGAGGGGTGGGGGTGGGGAATCGACTTCCCCCCACAGTCTGGCACATGCTCAGGCAGAGGTTCCCCCCCTCCCCCGCCTCCACCCCGTTTTTGGTATGTTGTTTGTTTTTGGAGGTTCCCGCTTTAGTTCCAGCCCACTGCCTGGGTTGGAAGTCCGAGAGGAAACGAACACAGGGAGTTCTCTGGGAGGCCGGCTTCCTCGCGGATGCGGGAGACCGGGTAAGCCCTCCAGGCCTCCCTCGGCGGGCAGGAGGCAGGAGGCGAGTTTCACCAAGCAGCCAGCCAGCCGACGGAGGGGACCACCGGGGAGTGATCTGGCCTGAAATCTTCACCTGCAAATCCTTCCTGCAAGGTCAACCCAGATTCCAGCGGTAGCGCTGTGCCCCTCGCTTCGCTGAGAAGTTCTGCGGGGGTTTGTAGCTCTTTTTCTTGGCACCGCTGGGAAGCCGCCCTTTTCCAGTGAGCCGCCAATATCCTCTCCAGGTACAGAGAAGAGATGTAGGATGTACAGGATTCCCTAATCAAAACGCTGGCAAATTGTAATGTCCGGTTCCACCTGCTGCACACACAGAAGACCCACAAGAGGGCAATTTACGTTGACATCATTACTGTTAGTGTGAATGTTGCAAAACCAATCTTCTTAGGTACTTTTAATAAGACACACGGAAGTCACCATTACGAGGCTGTGTTTTCCATAAGTTCTGGGATAGCCTCTCTTTTTCCTCTTAATTTTGCAGCCTTGCTTAAGAAGGCCTCCAGTGCCTGGCTTTTCTGTGAATGATTGATAAGCAGCATGAATGAGACGCATTGGAAAGAAAACACACTCCAATGGAGAGAACTGTTGCAGCAGAGAGTTAGGTTTCATTCATTCAGAAGTATGCTTTCCTAAGTCTAAGAGGCATCTGCCAGAGGGAGGCTGAGGCTGGGGGAACGTCTCAAGACAATGTGTTCTGCAAATAGTGAGGCCGGGCTAGGCCCCGCACACCACACAGGCCAATTCATCAGTGACTATTTGGAAAATATTCTCTTCCTGTCTCAGCGTTTCATCATTGTTTCTCTCTAAAGAGGTGCCTGGGGAGGGTGGGGGAGGGGCTAAGGGCAGTCCTGGGTGGGAGGAGGCGGTGGGGAGAATGGAGAGGACCGTTCCTGGCTTCTGTTGTGGCGTCTTTTCTATTTGACTTCATGGTTGTAAGTATTTCCAGATGGTGAATCAGACACCAGACGTAACAATATTTCCATATTTGGGTATAGCAGTAGCCTGCGTTTTTAACATTTTTCTGCCTCTGTTATCCAACCACAAAGCATTCTTGACAGCTTCAAATGTTGTTAAATTTAGACTTAACTTCTGTTCCCAGAGCAGGAAATTCTTTGGAATTCCTTGTTTTTCACGCAATCTTTCTATCACGCTTTAAAATAAAATTGCAGTGGATGATCCAACTGGCCATATCTACGTTGTTCCTTTATTGGGGGGAGGGGGGTACGGCCAAGGGATCCAGGCCGCTGCACCTCTCTCCGCGAATGCCATTCCAGAGATTCTTTTAACAATCAGATTAAAGTTTTCCAACAAGGGTCTGTGGGTTTGTTTCTGGACTTCAATTGGGGGATCTCGGAGGAGGATGAGTTGGCCCCAGAGAAGAGAATCGTGCCTTCTGCGGCCCATTTAAAGCCGCAGCTGCGTGGTGGCAGGGGGTGGGAGGCTAGAGCCACAGGGCCAGGAGGTGGGGGAGCGGGAGAGAGTGCAGTAACCTTGGTGCACAGCTTTTCCGTTCCCACAGACCGCGTCCCGGTGCGCCTGCTAACCAACGACGGCCTCAGGCGGGAGCAACGGCGTCCCCCCCCCCCTCTCGCGACCAGCCCAGGGACGGTCCGGAAACCCTAGACGTCCCGTCGCCTTCTCACCTCCTCGGCTGAGAGCTACAGATCAGTTCACGTTGATGGATAGGCGGAGGAAAGGTACAAATGTTTAAGGGTAAGTGCTGATTCGGGTGCTAATTCTGCACGGCTCCCTGGCTCGCGTTCCCCTCTCCCGCCCACCACGGGCCACCCTGTTTCCCTGGGCTGCAAGCCCCGGAGAAGGGTCTTGCTCCTGGCTTAGGGCTGAGCAATTGGGGTGGGGGGGGGGTCTTCCACCCGTTGCTGCCCCCGAATTTTAGGTTACCTAAAGAACGGCTCACCATCTGGCTGCAACTGAGAATAGCAACCCTGAACCTAGCCACCACGCTGGTATCCTAGCCCTAGACACGCGCGCGTCGCAATCACCTGGAGGGCTGTTTAAGGGACTGACTGCCGGGCCGCAGCTCGAGTTTCCGATCAGTTACTTTTCTAACAAGTCCCTAGGTTATGGTGATGTTGCTGGTCCTTGAAGCACACCCTGGGAACCTCTGCCCTGGGCGACAGCAGAGACTGTAGGGACTGTGTGCGTGTGTGTCCGTCCATAGACAGATACTTGCCTGTGAAACTTGCCAGTCTACAACTCCTCTTTGATCGCCACCTTCATGAATGGCACAATGTAAGATGTCCGCAAAGGGCTAGTTTTGATGGGCGCCCTCACAAACATCCCCGATTTGTCTCCTCCATCCTTCCCCTACCCTCTCCTCCCCTGGCATGATCGTCAAGGAGAGCCAGAGGTGGCCGGAATTACGGTGGGGGCGGCGGCGGGAACTGCGTGGCAGACGCGCGGGTAGGGCCTCGGGCGGCCCCGGGACCCCTGCGGAGACCCGGAGCAGGGTCCGCGAGGCTGGAGGGCCCGGAGACGCGCCCGGCCGCCTGCTGCCGCCGCCCCCTGCCGGCCGGCGGCCCACGCGCCTCCTCCCCGCCGTTGCCAGGACGCGAGGTTTCCGGCGGCTCGCGGCGCAGGACGTTTCCAGCCCCGGCCCATATTTGGTGAAAGTCTTTCAAGACTCCGTCATCCAACTCTGGGGGGCGGCGGCGGCGACGGCGGCGGCGGCCTGGGAGTGGGCTGGGCCACCGCGCGGCCACTGCGTTCCTGAAAAGTACGCCTCGGCTGCCCGCGCCCAGGCCTCCGGCAGCGCGGGACCCGACGCGGGGCGGGCTAGGGCGGCGGAGAGCACGTCGGCCCCATCCCGCCGTGCGCCCCGCCGAGCGCCCGGGGCCTCCCCGCGCTGCGTGGGAGGCTGGCGCGGAGGGCGCCGCGGCCCGATTGTGTCACTTTTCCCGTCCACCCCCTGCTGACTCCCAGCGGGGCGGCGAGCGGCCGCGCCGTGCCAAACCTAAAGGGCCCGCCCGTGGCTGGAGTGTGGGGGCGTGTGTCAGGGTGGCGGCGGCCCAGACGCCCGGCGCCCCCGGGAGCGGGAACTTGGAATTGACACTGGGGGAAGAGCCCCGAGGGCCTGGGTTCCTTTAGGACACGTGCTGGAACTCTCTCGCGGCTCCTCCTGGTCTCACACAACTCTTCCCTCTCTTCCTTCTCAGGAAGTTCCGTGGGGAGGCTGCGGGAGCGGGGGATAGGAAGCGGGCTCTGCTCTCCACCAGCCTGTGGCCCTGAGTCGGCCAGTCCTCCTCTCTGTGTCCCGAGCTTCATCAGTAGATGGGTTAGGAGGCAGCAGCAGGTGGTAAAACCTGAGTAATCCCTTTTCGAGGCTGAATCCCCTCCTAACGGCGACAGAAACAAACATGTAGGGCTCACCGTATAGCAGGCACCTTTGTGAATGTTCCCTGTATATTATTTAAATATCCAGAGTTCCATTGAGGCAGGTCCTCTTCTAATGCCATTGTCTAGCTAGGCACAGAAGATAGGCAGAGAGCCAAAAGTCACTCACCTGGAGGGTAGCAGAACTGGAATTGGACCCAAGCATCTTGGTGTAAACAGGGCTTAGAATTAACCACTGGGTTACACTGCCTACCTCAGTCGTTCTGGCTTATCCCCTCTCCTGGAATTTTAATCTTTATTTAACGGTATCCTGGCTTACCCAGAAGGTCTAGAAGGAATGCATCAGACAGAAAAATAAAAAGTTGCTAAATTAACTGCAGCTGTGCCAGTCCCTGAGCATTGCCTAATGCACTGGCTCTTCCGGGGCGGTGGGGAGGGGGGGGGGGGGGGGGAGTTGCGGTTGACAGAAAAAGCCTTAATACAAATAAGTTTATAAAAGGGGGCGGAGGGGGGAGCTGGCGCTCTGGCTTGCCAGGTAAAGCCTGCGAGGTCGGAATCCCATAGGCACCTGTTGGAGTCCTGGCTGCTCCACTTCTGATCCAGCTCCCTGCAGTGTGCTTGGGAAGGTGGCTGTTTTGACCTTTTGGGGAGTGAACCAGCAGATGGAAGGTCGCCCCCCCCATCCTCTCCTCTTTCTCCCCCTGTTTCTCTGTTAACTGTGTCAAATAAAAATAAATAAA